TTATTTTAATTTCATCAATCTAATTGATGACAAAACTACACTATTTCCACATTAATCTATCCGCATTCTCAAATTTAATTATCGCCGATGGCCTTTTATCGCGTCAATCAAGTGGCGGGATTATAGAAAACGACGGTGGGGATTACAGAAAACGCGTTTGCTGGGCAACGGTCTTACTTCATGACGTATAACCATCGTGCACGATCAGTTTCTGGTAGGCCGCGTCTCTCTTCTCATCGATCAGAACCTGTGTAGTCGTATTCATCCTTTCCCAGAATTTCTCGTTCAAGCGTGTTGATCTCGGGAGAAGGTCGCGGTCACGAGGTTTCCTAGTTTGTGAAAAGTGCAAGATTTCAATTGCTTATCAAAGAAGAGGTGAGCATGTTGCAAGAAATTTGCGTTTTGAAATTTTCTATTCAAGGTGCATCAAGTGGATTATTCAAGAGCTAATATATACAAATTTGTGATAGATTTATACTGATTGTTTGTTCTTACAATTGTTTAAATATTAATGTAATAAATAGATAAAAGGTTACGTTAAATATTTATAATACTGGTAATGTTGCGATTAAATTGATCGCAGTGTTGTAAGTGACGATACAATTAATTACAGTTTGGTGATGATATCTGGATTAGTAACACTATTAACTACTACTAAACTAAATTTTATTATAGTGCGCAAGAATTTAATTAAATTTGCACATTGTGTGTTTATCAAATTCATGTGGAGCAAGAGTTAATAATTTACGTAAAACAAAATTAAAAAAAAAAACGTTTTATTAAGAGCATTCCTTGGAAAATAGTCAATTTACATTAATATTTTTAACAGAAAGGTAAAAAGGTAAATGTTTATGGATACATCTTTGCAAAGAATGTAACAGTTGTCACGTGCGTAATTATTTTAAATTAGAATTACACATACACCCCTTCTATATGTATGGTTCTATATTACATATATATTCGCTCATTTGCTGCAACAATGACGTAACTCAAAAATTGTGATTTTTCAGCAGACACGATTTCAAGTTTTGAATTATTATAA